GTTTCATGTGTTGATATGCATAAATGTTGCTGCTAGGGAACTTAACCTCTAGGCAGCTATATTTTCTTTGAAAAAAAAATATTTAAATTATATTTTTAATTTTTATTCATATTATATTTAAATTATATTTAAAAATGCTAGGGAACTTAACCTCGAGGCAGCTAGGGAACTTAACCTCTAGTATTGCAAAACATCATATTTTTAATTTTTATTCATATTATATTTAAATTATATTTAAATATAAAATAGACATTTGCCTATGAAAGAATTTATGTTTACTTGAAGAATATATCTGCTTAATAACATAATACCTCTTGGTTTATGAGATGCTTGTGTAGTGGAAACATATGAAATAAGCATTAAAATAAATCAAACCAAGTGGAATTCATTTGAATTTATTTGATGTAAGGCATGAAATGTGCTTTATCAACAAACTACCCAAGCTTAATTTATTTCATCACCAAATCAAGTAATTTTGTACATAATCTAGATGAGAGAATTTGATCTACAATAAGATTACATAAAGTGCAAAAAGTCTTGCATAGGCTTCAATTAAACTAAAACATAAAACACCAACTAATCATTACCTTAACAATACTTATTTTTTTCATTTAATACATCAAATCCTAAGAACTGCAATTGCTGCTTTATAAACTCATTGCTTCTTACAGTTTTCGGATACTTCGATTTTCGCAAACCGCCCGCGAACTCTCGGTTGGCTATCGGCCAGTGCCTTCCTGCAAGCATACTGAAAAAAAAAATAATAATAAAATAAGATAAAATAAATAAACGACGTGTAAGTTGTAACTCGAAACATGGTCTAAAAGAATAGAAACTGATTTTTAACAAATTTTCCACTAACATTTTTATCAAATTTTCAAGTAAATTTAACACCTTGATTGAATCAGAATCTCATTTTCTATTTGTCGTTCGAGTTTTTCTACTCGGAAATAGACACTCGTTCGTACGATTTTATTCACCACACATTCTCAGTTAATCAAACTCAATGTTTTTTGCTTCTACATTGCAAACATTACCTATTTCATCATGCCAGGCAGATAGATATCATCTTACCAGTAAAAATTCATAAAAATTAGAAAAAAATGATAAAAGTAATAATCAGAAATTCCTTCGAAAATCTGTTACCTTGATTTTCCTATCGAAATTCCTCCTCGATTTCTTACTCCAGTAACGGTACAACTTTTCCTTCCGATCTTCAGAAGAAGCACAGGCGCTCGGGACTTTAGGAAGTCCAGCTGGCGATTGAACTTGGCTTATGTTGCCATTATTATCAAGAGTCTGTCATCAAAAACTCAGAATCAATGATCTAACATTTTACATTTAGCCATATTTGTTGTTATTGTAAAGATTTTCTAGCACTATTTTACTCTTTTTTTTCTTTTTCAAAAAAATTATAACAAATACCACTTGACATTATAAAACTGCAACAAATGTCCAATGGTTATAGTCAAGAAGAATATCAGTTTTAGTTACTTCACTGTAATTAGACTAAACCTAAAGAGCATTTTTGCACAAAAATGAAAAAATAAAAAATAAAAAAAAAATCAACCTTTATGTCTCCATCACTAAACGCTCTACGCATTCCATAGACCGAAACCGGGAAATCAAGAAAACTATCCTCGTTTGGGATTTCGATTTTCAGCTCCTCAGATAATGGCATTTCATTGCCTTCCTTGGCCAAGAGATCCTTTTCGCACTCATAAAAGACCTCATTTAAGAGGCACTCGCTCTCGATTGACGACTCGGCCAATGGGTCGGGCCCGAATGTGGGGTCCTCGATTATGGGCTCGGGGGCCCACAGGTCCTGCAACAATACAACACATTTNCCTCGACAAATCCTCTACCTAACGCATAAATAATTAATAAAGTTTAGATTTATGAAAAAAAAAAAAAAAAAAAAAAAAAAAGAAGAAAAAGAAAGAAAGAAAAATTGCAATCTGGGGTGCTACCATTTCTGAATCATGTTGAAAGTGATTAAACTGAGGTTGAATTACAGTCATTTAAATCTTGAACAAGAATTTTGAGATACTGCTAATGGATACAAACTTTTAAGGTGTGATTTTTATGTTGGATGATGTAATCTTGAATATTATGACTAAAACAGTTAATAATATTAAGACTGATCAACTATGCAGTATATCCAGATATTCCAATAAATCCACCAAGAAAAAGGTACAAGTCCACAACTTTCCCCTGTTACTCAGACATTTAAATGAGCATGACTATTTCAGCAGATGATTTAAGTTCCCCAAGAAGATGAAAAAAATGTATAAAATCACATAATACCAATGATTGAAGTGTTTAGAAAAGCATTTTTGTGAAATTCCAGGTTAGAAACTATATATATGCTGCTTTTGTTGTTTTAATCTACTAAAAATGCACCTAGAAGCTCAAACTCAAACCCATCCAGCAGATAAAAAAAAGGAGAACACATTTTCATTAGTCATTTTAAACATGAAACAAAAATATTCATGTTTTTTTCCATCATATGTCATCCCACTATGAGAACACACACACACCCACTATGAATTTTCCCAATAGAAGTAGCGATAAAGTTAGCTTTTTTTTTTTAACCCACATTTGCATCTAATTTCTATTCACTATAAGTTCTATGAAAAGTGAATCACAACAAAGAAATTGAGATAAAATAGAATTACACAAAATGGGATTTTCAAAAAGAGATAAAAAATCAGGGTTTATGTATTTCATTTCCAAAGCCTAATACGCTCCTTCAGATNATAAATCCGTAAGAAGAAACTCTTGAAAGAAAAATAAAAAATAAAAAAACTTCAGCATAAATGGAACGTATTGTGAATTTTCTTTGCAGATAAAAATGTTAAAGAACCAAAATTTATCAAGTATTTTTAAGGTTCTTCAATATGTTCCTCATGATCCCCCGTTTTTGTTCTGACATAATCACACACAGTGAATGATTAAACAAAGAAGACCATAAAAAACATAAAAATAAAATAAAATCAAACTTTAGAAAAGAATCTCTCACGAACGGGGTATCAAAATCAAGAGTCCATTTTTACATTCAACTGAAGCCCAAATGAAGATCAGATACAGACAAAAAAAGGAAAGAACTTTGGCTCAAGAAAACAAAAATGGTTCTCATTAATTACTTACCAATGGCTTTTGCTGCCAGCAAAAAGCTTCCTCAAATTGCTGAACTTCCTGAGAAAAGTTGTGGAAATAAGGAGACATTAGCTCTGTTTCTGCATACATTTTTGCTTTCATCCTCTTTTCTTGATTTTATGTATGATTATAACTTTTATATATAGAGAGCGAGAGATGGAAAGAGATTTGCTTTAATGGAGGAGAAGGGGCCTTTTATAGGTGTCAGACAAACAAACAAACAATAGTTTCAGCAGTAGCAGCTAAAGAGAGAAAGGAATCTGATATTTTTCACGGTAAATGTAAAAAGGTGAAAAAGTATTTACCATGTGTTACTCGCGCATTTAACAAGTCTAAGTTTTAGTTTTTTGGGCTATATAAGGTTCGTTAAGTTCGAGAAATGTTACTTTTTACATAATTCTTTTCACTGAAACTAATTTGACTCGTTAAAATTTGATTCCGAATTAAATTTAAATTTGTTTGTTGGTTGATTAGTTAATAAGCATAACTCAACTCTAGTTGATAGAAACTCAAGCTCGAGTTTAAATATTTAAAAGTCGATTTGGCTCGTTTACATCTCTATAACTACTTAGTGATGCAAATTCAGGAAAGCAATTGAAAACATTTTTTTCTTTTTTGTTTTGGCTTTTGTCTTGATTTTTGGACGCAACTACGAGTGAAAACGAATTTTTAAATCAAAACACAATATTCGTCGAATCCAAATTTATTTCTTGATCATATAAATATAATTAAGTAATGAAAACGAAATTACTATCCATTTTTCACATAAATTAGTTTCATCATCTCACATATTTTTAACTATCATCGTTATTTTTTGTTCTGTATCATATCAACTTTAATCGTTATATTTTATATCGCAAATTCAAAATTAATTCATTATTCCACACCAATCAATTTTCTTTCAATTTTAACTTATTCATGCAATCATCCAAAATTAAACCAAAAAATCAATTCTATTCGCACGTATTAATTCAAATATAAGCAATTTTTTTTTTCAGTTATTTTTTTAATTTTGTTTTTGTAAAAAAGATCATTTAAAACGATGGAGACACGAAGATAAAACAATAGCATGACAGTGCAAGTGTGCAGTTTATTTTGTTAAAAAATTCTAAAATTCAAGGAACTATGTTAGAAAATACGAATTTGTTCTTCTCCAAATGTCACCACCCCTATATATTTCTGTAGCTACAATATTATATTGCAATTTGAGCCGTATAAGGTTAAAGTTCATTGCATCACACTAGAAAGTTTGGTTAAATTATTATTAAGGTCATAATCATTGAATTTACAGGAATAAAAGGTGAAACCCAATTGTTTCACAAATATAGTATGAAAACATTGAAAAGAGATGTTTCCATTTTAATTTTAATATATTTCGTTACGGTGATCTCTTGAATATAATTATCTGGTATAAGCCCACCTATATTAATAATACCTTCATGACCAAACTCTTAACGAATAATTATAGACACAACTCAACAATATTGAAATGTCATGCTCTAAACTGTGATAAATAAATGTATTTACACTTCTTAATATAAGTTACCTTAAATATAAAAAAAAGACATAATACTAAATTGTCTTTTTCTTTGTTTTTAATAATTTACATATTTCTTGCTATTTTTAATTAGCTTGCTCAATTTTACACGTTAAAGTTGGTGTTAGTTTGACTATTGGTTGGATAATCATATCTATATATATATAATAAGAATTAACATTTAACAAAAATAGTAGCAAAAAATAGGAGAGAATTTAATGCAACCTATAAATAGTAAATTTTATTAATTTTTTATTTTTATCTTTAAAAAATCATACAACATTAAATGTTGCATTAAATTTTGGGCTTTAATTCATTTTATTATTTAAAAATTTCAGCTAAGATCTATTATGTGTACATTTTTATTTTTTTCATAGAAATAATGAAGAACATTAAAATCTCAATCTCTATATTTATAAAATCTCACTTCAGAAGGTAATAAAAATTTTAGAATCAGGGAAGTATCTAGAAAAATATTTTTTTTGGGGGGGGGGGGGTGACTAGAATTGTAAATCGAACAAAATTGTCTGCGAACATAACTCGGCCTGACTAACAGGAGATACATGGACTACATGTTTTATTTATAAAATAGTTTAAAATATTTTGGGTGACTTCACATCTTTCAATAATGATATATAAAATTTTAGATACTTCACATACGTTATATAATATTTTAAACATACATTTTTTATGTTATTTTATACAAGATAATTTTATATTATTTACAACTGATATACGATAAATTATGTCACATATTAACTCCACAAATTAATTACAATGTTTAGTTAATATTGATTACCTCATATTTAATTTATAATTATTAGTTAATATTGTTTACTATCATCATTAATTTATTAATTATTATTTAATATTATTTACCCGTGCATTGCACGGGCTACACACTAGTATTTACAACACATTCATACTTTTCAATTGAAATATTACTATACTCTATAAATTGGCATAAACAAAATATACTAGCATTCCATAGAAAAATATATATTTTTACAGAAAGAGCATAATTGTTACACCACTTTATATAAGAATATTTATGTAATTTATAAATAATGGTATCAATGATTGACAATAAAGTCCAAGGAGAGAACCAGATATTTTCATGTAATCCTCACATGTATCTAAGCCAGATGCAAGATGCATTTATATATAACTGAAATTGATCAAGACAAGTGTCAAGAAATTTGTTTATCTCTCACCCTTTTTTATTTGATATACGTGTTGGTTATTATTAGTGAACTAATCACTACTTAATAATAGTAAGACATGAAATGAAAATATTAATTCAATATGTTTTTGCTTCATGGAGTTTACACAAGTCGTGAATTGAATTAGGTTACCCTATAAATTTTTTATGCGAAGAAAATAAATATATGCTTAATAGATTTCGCGTTTTATTTATGTTTTTTTAAAAGAAAATGTGACATTTTTCAATAAAAGTATATGATTTGTGAAAGAAAGCACGGTTAGGCTAGCTTGAAAAAAAGACGGACAAAAATTCTAATTGTTTTATTAAACATAAAACTTGTACATAAAACTTGGTATAATTAGTCATTCGGTAACAAGTTGTCAGATAAAATTGTCTTTTTTTTCACTAAAATAATATCATAATTATCAATTGCTCAATATTTTATAAACATTTTTAAAATATAGATAATACTATTGTTTTTTTAGACATGCTGCCCTGTGTCATATGGACACATATGTTAATTCGTAACCTAAATAATTAAGGTTGTTTCTTTAATTAACCAAACCTTAATCTAGAAAAATGGTACTAGTGATTATGATAATTACAATCATTAATAAAACCTAACATTCTTTTTTTCCCCTCGCATATCATATCACGTGTAGATGTTAATCATATGTAGTATAATATTAATCTAATTGTTCATCAAGATTTCTATCATTAATTGAATATATCTAATGATTAGGTTCATCTGAACCTTAGATATTGAAACAATGTATGTAACTTATTAAGGGAGAAAATGTTTGGTACTGAAAAAATTCTCAAGCTTGATGTAATATAATGTAAAATAGTACTCCAACTAATAGTTATCACACTCCAATTTCGTGTTTGTTTGTAGATCCAACTAAAAAATTAATGAATTAGTTGATAGCTGATAATTAATTCATTTCCTAATAATAGATAAAAATATTTAGTACAGACAATAAGTTTTAAGAATTGAAATAAACTTCACTTTTTATAAAGCAAAAAAAATTATTCATACCTATATTTAGGGGAAATTGAATGGAAAAAATGCATTCATACATGCTTAGAGTCAAATATTTTTATTCT